ACTTTTTGAGCGGTGAAATATGTATATTGATTGTTTTTAACTTTTAATTTATGGAACAAAAATTTCATCTCTCTACTTAAAGTACTTTTTAATGTTACTTTTTCTAATTGGACTAATTTTGTTATCAAAACTTTAACCTCAAGGGAGGTTTGTGTAATTTTACAAATTTTAGGGGAGGCTAGTGAAATTATCAGAAAGCTCAGGAGAGGTTTCTCAAATTATCCCAAAGAAAAAACAAAAGAAAATCCTCCACGGCTGCTGCAGCCTGCGGCCATCTCCTCAACACTGCTCACCTAAATTGATGATCTTGCTTAATTTTCAATTTGCCTTCAAAGCCCCATCACTCAGAGGGATTCCTTTTGCCCATTTAGGGATTCCATGACTTAGAAAGTTCAACCAATTTTAGTTGAATTTGTAGTACTTTACCTTGATTTCTTTTTTCTCCCTTCCTGTTATGGTACAGAACCAGAGTTGCAGCAATATGAGAATGTTGCAAACTCAAAATATGGATTAATCTCAACAAACAATCAATGGAATAGTGAATTTGGAGATTAAAAGATGAACTCAACTTTCATTAATGAACTTCAATATCAGGTTACAAGAACAGAGAATACGAATTCAGTGAGGAAGGGGAAAGAAATTGAAGGAAAACTTGGGAGGAGGGAAACGAGATTGGTGGCCCAAATCTCTTACAATCAAATCTGGAAAATAATGACAAAAGCTACTCTATACAGCAGACATGCCTGCTTATATCACTATCTATGCTAACAAACTTTCAACTAAACCAATGAGCTCTAAACACGTGTCCTTTCATAGCTACAAGTTGCAATGGTCCTCAGTTTCGGTTAGAAGCAGATGAAACCCAGCAAAGGCGTGGTTTGTGGGCACGTCTTCGATGACTCACTTATACAAAACTTCACGCTTTCAGCTTCTGACATCACGACTTCTTCATTTCTCCTCCTTAGTTCGTTTCTTCAGTTCCAATCTAACCTTTTAGCTTCATCACAATTTCATGTTTGTTCAGGTTTCGACGGCTCTTTTGAAAATCACGAGGGCAGCAGCTTTGATTTTGATCAGCTTTGATTTTCTCCGGGGCACTATTATGATTCACGCTACAACCACAGGCAGCGCAAGTGTGATGGCACATCGACACTCTCGCTGTCTCCATGATTATCATCGGTACTGATCCTAAAGTTACAGTCTTCTTTGTTTTCCTTTTTCCGCCTTCATTTTGTGGCTTTCTTATTATTTTTAATGGGTTTCCATTTTTCAATTTCATCTAGGGTTTAAATTACTGATAAATTTTTTATTATTAAAAGAGTAGGTTGACTGGAATGAATCCATCATCTCATAAATAGTTCCTCTTCAGATTTGGATGCCATACTATATGCAGTTTTCTTCCGGTATCAACCTAAATTTTTTGTTTTTGCTTCTATTTGATCCACGTTTAACTACTTGCTGCTGAGAGTATGAAAATGCAATTTTAATTTAGAGGAATTTATTTTCATTTGGTAATGCAATGATTCTTAGGTATGTGCTATTGGTACATACAGTGATGTTAAAGGATCTGATGAAAATCTCTGCGCACCTTGTTCCCTTGAGCGCCTTCCTAGTCATGCATTTTTTATCTATGTATGAGGTGATGTAATGCAATGAGCTCTAATTTTCTTAGAAGTCCATTTCTCAATTATCTGCTCCATTATTGGACATGATAGATCTAACTTCATTTTGGGTATGATTTGCTACAGGGGATGTTACCAAATCAGTTTGTCCCTACAAATGTATATCCAAAAGGTACAGAATGCCCAACTGCTATACCCCTTTTGAAGAGTTGATACATACTCTTGAAGTTCCCTGGCCATTCTCACTCTTATTAGCGTGTCTTGCACTCCTTCTAGCTCTAGTATTGAGCACTTTGAGGATCAAATTGATTGGGTTGGGATGTTCATATATCAATGTGAATTCAACTGAGCTCCAAAATCATCATCATTCTCCTTATCTTCTCACTTTATCTGACGTACGGTCTTCATTAACTTTTTGGTTCTAGGATGCATCTATGTAGTATTGCCAAATTGGCAATTTTTATTTTTACAGTAATTCATTTGCGTAATTGTTGTAGATTGAAATCGAGGAATCTGAACTATATCAGTAGAGGTAAGGTAGAAGAAGGGAAAAAGAGGAAGAAATGAGGAAGAACTCAGAGGGAGAAAAGAGAAAAGACAAGGAGGGAATCTGAGATATTATTGAGAGAAGGATTTTGTAACAATCAATCTGATAATTCCTTCAATTGCAGATGGAGTTCTTATACAAATCTTAGCTTCTAACTCAAGTAACAGATTACTAGCAGCTAACCAACTTTCCCGCCCAATTCTTCATTCTGTTAGGACCATGCTTGTCCACGTGATTTCCCCATGTGCCCCCATTTCCCTTGCTACCTTCCCTGCTGACTCTTTCTGGTAGTTTGTTTAATAGCTGCATTGAATCCAGGCCATAACAATGCCTCCCTCTTAAAACAATCCTAGTCTCTAGGATTGATTAATTTGGAAAGTAGGAAATTGAGCATGAACGAAAGACCAATCTTCCCAGGTAGCTTCCTCGGTTCCCATGTTTTCCCACTGCACCAGCACCTGTTCGACCTCTTGTCCCTTCCTAAAAATTGTCCTCTGGTCCAGCACTGCTGAGGGAACAACACCAAACTCACCATCATCATTCAGGGTGGGCAAGGTAGTGCTGATTTGAGCCCCCTTAGGTGACTTTTTGAGTAAGGAGACATGGAAAACAGGATGTATGGCTGATCCTGCTGGTAACTTCAACCTATAAGCTACAGTCCCTATCTTTTGTTCTACCTGATAAGGCCCATAGTATTTAGCTGCCAGTTTTATATTTCTTCTTACAGCTACAGAAGTTTGTCTGTAAGGCTGAAGCTTCAAGTAAGCCCATTCCCCTACTTCAAATTCCCTGTCACTCCTCCCTTTATCCGCCATTTATTTCATCCTGTTCTGAGCCTTCAACAGGTTCTCCTTGAGCAAGGAGTTCCAGTCCACTCGTTCTTGTGCCTAATCTTCCACAACAGCTACTAGTGTGCTATCAGGCCTCAGGTTCATCTGAACAGGCTTGTAACCATACAAGGCCTGAAAGGGAGACATTTGCAAACTATTATGATGGTTAGTGTTGTACCACCACTCTGCTGCCGGGAGCCATTTCCTCCATTTCCCTGGTTGATACATACATATACTTCTCAAGTAGTTTTCCACACACCTATTCACCCTCTCGGTCTGCCCATCAGACTGAGGGTGATATGCAGATGAAAGATTTAGTTCTGTGCCTAGCATTTTGAAGAGTTCTTACCAGAACAAACTAGTAAATGCCTTGTCTCTATCAGAGACAATGTGTGTTGGTAGGCCATGCAACCTAAAAATCTGATCAAAGAATGCCTCTGCTACACTTTTAGCAGTGTAGTGAGAGGTCATTGGAATAAAATGGGCATACTTAGTAAATCTGTCCACCACCACATAGATCACATTACAGCCAAAGGACTTGGGTAATCCCTCAATGAAATCCATAGAAATTTGTTGCCACGCTTGGTTAGGTATGGCCAGTGGCTGCAGCAAACCTGGATAGGGGCAATTCTCATTTTTACTCCTCTTGCAGACTTCACAGCTCTGTACATATTGCTCTATTTCCTTCTTCATTCCAGGCCAGTATAGATAACTCCTAATCCTCTGATAAGTAGCATGATTCCCAGAGTGTCCCCCAAGACAAGAATCGTGAAAACAGGAGATCAGCCTTTGCCTTAATCCAGAATCAGCTCCTACCCACACCCTTCCCTTGAATCTTAGAATCCCTTGGTTATAAGAGTAATCTGGTAATGCATCAGCTCCCATAGCCAACTTCAACAGAACTTCTTTGGCCATCTCATCACCATTGTAGCTCTCAGCTACCATTGTCAACCACAGAGGCTTGATGGTAGTGATAGTATGCACAGACGTTTCTGCTGTATTCTCCAACTCACCCCTCCTTGATAAAACATCAGCAACCACATTATCCTTTCCTTTTTTGTATTGAATCTCATAGTCCATCCCCATAAGTTTAACCAGCCATTTTTGTTGAAGAGAAGTGTTAATTTTCTGATCCAACAAGTATTTGAGGCTCTCATGGTCAGTCTTTATAATGAAATGGTGTCCCATCAAGTAATGTTTCCATTTGTGAACTGCAGTGATGAGTGATAGAAGTTCCTTCTCATAGGTAGATCTAGCCTGATTATTCTGTCCCAGTACTTGACTGTAGTAGGCTATTGGCCTCCCTTGTTGCATTAGAACAGCACCAATGGCTATCTGACTAGCATCAGTTTCCAACAGGAATGGCTTTGAGAAGTCAGGTAATGCCAACACTGGTGCTGCACTCATTGCCAGCTTCAATTGTTGAAATGCAAATTCTGCAGCAGTACTCCATGCAAATTGATCCTTTTTTAGCAATTCAGTAAGAGGCTTAGCAATCTCCCCATACTCCTTAACAAACCTCCTATAGTAACCTGTTAAGCCCAAGAATCCTCTAAGAGCCTTTACACAGGTGGGAGTTGGCCAGGACAACATTGCTTCCACCTTGGATGGATCAGTTTTCACCCCTTCACTAGTAATTATATGTCCCAGATACTCTACTTGGTTTTGACCAAAAGAGCATTTTGACATCTTTGCATATAGGGAGTGTTTTCTCAGAGTGTTCAAAACTATGGATAAGTGGTGAAGGTGAGTCTTGTAGTCTGGACTATAGATTAAAATATCATCAAAAAATACAAGGACAAATTTTCTGATATAAGGCTCAAAGACTAAGTTCATGAGGGCTTGAAAAGTAGTTGGGGCGTTTGTTAGGCCAAATGGCATTACTAGGTACTCATATAGACCAGAATGAGTCCTGAAAGCAGTTTTAGGGATGTCATCAGGTCTCATTCTGATTTGGTGATAGCCAGATCTTAGATCAATTTTAGAAAAGATTCTGGCTCCCTATAACTCATCCAATAAATCATCTATAATAGGGATTGGAACTTTGTCTTTAACAGTGAGGTTGTTCAGTTGCCTATAGTCAATACAAAGCCTCCAGCTCCCATCTTTCTTTTTCACTAAAAGAGCAGGTGATGCAAAGGGACTATGGCTAACTTGTATAAGGCCAGAGTTCAACATATCTTTCACTTGCCTATCAATCTCATTTTTTTGTATATGGGGGTATCTGTAGGGAGGAATTTTGAAAGGTTGGGCACCTGGTTTAAGAGGGATTTGGTGATCATGGCATCTGTTTGGGAGGAGGGTGTTTGGTTCAGCAAAGACATCATCATACTTGGCCAACAACTCAGTAAGAGAATCTGGTTCAGAAATTACCTGTGAGTTGTGAATCTTCACCATACAGGATTGCTGCAATGCCTTCCTGATCTTATTTCTGACACACTTGTGAGCTGAGGGACCCTGCTGCATCCTCACGTTTGCATTGTTGGAGTCTCCTTTTAGCACCACTTGCTCCCCTCCTTTTTCAAAAGACAGGTTCAACTTCTTGATATCAAAAGTAATGGGACTGTAAGACTTCATCCAATCGACTCCAAGGATCAGATCATAAGGCTCCAGGTCCAATACAAATACATCATGTGCAAATCTGTGGCCCTGCATGTTCCACTGCATCCCTGGAATCCACTGGTCACATGTCAACTCCTTGCCATCAGCTATCGTGACCTTGAAGGGCCTGTGGTTCTGTACAGTTTCTGGGTATTGCTGAGCCACAGTCCTTTTGATAAAGCAATTAGTACTTCCCCCATCTAACAGGATTGTCAAGTGATGGTTCTTATACTCCCCTTGCATTTTGATGATGCTTGAGGATAATTCCCCTGACATTGCATGCAAGGTTAGCATCACATCATGTTCCTGCTGGACCCCCATGTATTCAATAACTTCCTCCTCTTCTGCTGTGTGATTTTCCTCGCCTTTTTCCTCCTCTCCTACTATCATCATGTGGATCCCCTTACTTTTACAATTATGTCCTGGACTAAATCTTTTCCCACACCTGAAACATAGGTTGTGATCCTTCCTGTACTGGAATTCAGTGGGGGAGATTTTCTTGAAAACCTGCTGTGAATTGGACTTCCTGCTGAGATCTGTTAGTGATGTTCCAGCTTGTCTTACTCCCGAATCCTGAGCTCCATTCCCCCCTTTGTTAAGACCAAATGAGGTTGAGTGCAAGGTGTTCTTAAGTATAGGCCTACTGGACTTGTGGACCAGCTCTAAGTGGTGTTCCTGCCATCTGGCCATCTCAAAGACAGATTGTAGACTGTCTGGCCTGTGCATCTTCACGGCAGATTTAATTTTCCCCTTCAATCCACTTAGGAAACTAGCAATGTAGTAGGATTCAGTCAGTTCTGGCATCTGGATCATTACAATAGACCTCAATTCCTCAAACTTCTCCTGATAAGCCAAAATAGAGGAGGTCTGATTGAGTTTGCTGAACTCTTCCACTGCATCAGCCTCGCCCATAGTGCTGAATCTCCTACACACTTCTGATCCAAAATCCTTCCATTGGACTATTCCTTTATCTTTTTTGAAATTCTGATACCAGAGATCTGCCTTCCCTTCCAAGTGCAGTTCCACAAGATCCATCTGATGATCCTCAGGAGTGCGAAAAAGTTGGAAGAATTTCTCACACTTCCTGACCCACTCCTTGGGATTGTGGCCATCAAATCTAGGAAAATCTAACCTAGGGACCCCCATGGGCCAGTGTTGTCCCTCTCCTCTGGAGGAACTGCCAAATTCACCATATCTAGTATTCGGAATTCCAGCATTTCGATTGTTAGGAGTCCTTTCTGCAGAGCCGTTAGGATTTCCCAGTATTCCCTTGTCACCTTGCAAACTTCTCAAAATCGAGCTGATCTGATTACTTACAAAATTTTTTAGCTCTGCGCTATTGGCTTCCAGTAAGGACCGCATCTCCCTTTGATTAACTTCCAGCTTTTCCTCCATGACTTGCTTGTCTGCTACCATGGAGTCGAGGATCGCTTGAATTCTGGCATCTTGTTTCTTGAGCTGCTCCTCAAAGTTTTTCATGCGAGTACCTTCTGCTATGCTGGACTGTGGAGTGAACTTGCAATCCAAGGACCGCAAGCTCTGATACCACTGTTGTAGATTGAAATCGAGGAATCTGAACTATATCAGTAGAGGTAAGGTAGAAGAAGGGAAAAAGAGGAAGAAATGAGGAAGAACTCAGAGGGAGAAAAGAGAAAAGACAAGGAGGGAATCTGAGACATTATTGAGAGAAGAATTTTGTAACAATCAATCTGATAATTCCTCCAATTGCAGATGGAGTTCTTATACAAATCTTAGCTTCTAACTCAAGTAACAGATTACTAGCAGCTAACCAACTTTCCCACCCAATTCTTCATTTTGTTAGGACCATGCTTGTCCACGTGATTTCCCCATGTGCCCCCATTTCCCTTGCTACCTTCCCTGCTGACTCTTTCTGGTAGTTTGTTTAATAGCTGCATTGAATCCAGGCCATAACAGTAACATCTAGGTCTGTGGCACCAGAGCCGAAGAAACTCAGAGCCATGTCCACATGATATTTTTATGGGTCCCAATACTTTTAGATAGTCGTATAATCTTCCCTATTTGCCTCCCAACGCAATTGTTGAGATTGTGTAAACATTCACATGTAATTTGAAGTTTTTGGGCAGTAGGCAAGGGTTTAGAAGAAAAAAACTTGTTCACCTTGGAACCTTATATGTAGGAGTTTAATTTATTAGTTCTTTTGTCATCTTTGATTACGAGACAATTTTGATTGCTGTACATATTTTTCTTTGCCATTTTAAAAGACTCTGCTTAGGTTTATGATTATTTAGTATCTTTTGAGTTTTACACCTGAAAGATATTAGTCTTTCTTCTTATTCATTAATTTTTATTCCACAAAGATACATAAGTTAATCTTTGATCCATTTCACTGAGTCAGAATTTTGACTTCTTTTCCAATGAACTGTACTTGGCTGAGGCTCACTTAGCTTCAACTTCTGGTCTGATACAGCGAGAATATGAGAGATTTTCTAAACAAAATTTTACTTCATTTGCAAAATTTTCAAGGTTACCCATGTGCTAATGGTGATTAACAGCAGGTATGAAGGTGCTTTGAACAGATTTATAGACAAGATCAACTCCGTTGCAGCATATGAACGGTGGGAAGGGTCAGTGCATAGCACATGCTTGCTTAATCTTGTTCCTGGTCCCGGAAACAACGGCGTTGGAGTAATAAAGTTCACCATTGTCAGGAGTATGTTTAGTCTGAGTATGACCATTCTTGTATATGATCCTGCAGATCGCGAGCATTATACCAAGGAATGAAGGTTTGACTTTGTTGCTAAGAGTGAAACTCTTTGGCCCTGTGGAAATCTGATCAAAATTTTGTGGCTCAGGAATTTGCAGCCTAATACTTCTTTTATGCCCTGCAAGACAATGATGCTAGTATGAATTTGGTGTATTTAGTTCAATAGAGTATTTTCTTATGTTGATATGGCCTATTAATTCAGTGTATTGAATTAAAATAGCTTTAAAAAGGTTATTTAAGTAATAAAAGTTGTTTAATTAAGAATTTTATCTGCATATCAGTAGCCAATTGCTTGATTACATATTTGCTATAGTTGTAAATTAACCAATGTCTGGGCATGCTCATGCGTTGCATTAGGTCTCACACAAGTATTCTAGTCCAAAGAACAAAGAATCTGAGATCATCTACAAAGGTGCTGGAATTGGATGAGAAGTTGGCAGAGGAGAATTTGACGATTCTAATATTCAAACAGGGCCAATTCCAACCTTCAAGCCGTAAATTAGCCAACTAAGTCCAGTATCATCTTTCTTTGCCCTTTTTTGATTTCCTTCCTCCTATACTCTGTCTTGCTTAAAGCTGATGTGAAGGAATTGTATGTTTTCAGATGTATTATGCGTTTAGTCATAGATAGTGTTATAAGTTTATACCTAGCAGTGTAATTTCATTTCTTTTTTCTATTCTATTGTTTGCCTTTTTTGGTCACTTTTGCGAACCTTTCCTTGCAAGACACTTGTGTCTGTTAAGCATCTTTGGCACTTTTCTTTTGAGGTATCATGAGCTCTAACAAGTCGCTCTAGCTTTAATCGTAAGACCCTTCTGATCTTTACTCACATGACTGCTGTATAAGCTTGTTTCATGTGTTCACGTGACATGGTGCATATGTCTTTTTGTTTTGTTTTTCTTTTTCAATTATCCTTACAAATTTTTTTTTTTGTCAACACAGAGGTATCTGGTGTCCATGGACTGGTTACCGTACGACCCAACTATTCCTCTGCGGGTCGGGAGACGCTGCCCAACATCACCGACCATTGCACCCAGGATTCGAACCTTTGCGATGATACTCACCTAAACTAGGCTACTACCACCAGCTCTAGCCCTGGGGGGCTCATTATCCTTACTAATGGATGAGTTTTTCTATGTACTCCTCTGTAGAAGATCAAGATGTTTTAGGTTGTCAATTAATCTTTTGTACTTATTCTAATTGCTATGACATCTTTTGTTCAAAGTATGTCGTTACTTTGCCTTATTTGTCCATTTGTGGATTTCCAGCTCTGCAATAGATTGTTTCAAGTTTCTCACTAGATATCTCGCAACATTTTGCGATGAAGATGCATGTGCTATGAATGAAGCAAAGGAAGAAGCAGTCCGTGCTATAGTTGATTTTCTGAAGGCACCTGGCATGTTTCAAGTATCGCTTGTCTGTCTCTTTGAATTGCATATAAAACGGTTGTGAGGAGCCTCAAGGCTTGGTTGAATCTGACTTTATGGAGCATGATTATTCATCTCCAAATGTTACATTAATTTTTTCTTTGCTATAATTTTGAGCTAAAGTGTGACATGTATGCTTTTGTACTTCATTATCAGTATGGTATATTGGAACTTATTTGTGTGATGTGTCATAACGTTGTGGAGTCATTTGTACCTTAGAATGTGAAGAAACCTACAACTCATCAATCAAGTTAGATTTTGTTCTTGGATTGTAGTAGTTGTACTTCTGCTTCCATATTTATTTGAATAGTTGATAGATAGACGAACTTGTGAGATGGTATGTCTTCTTGGAATATAGCTATATGTCGATCTTGTAGGTGGTGAAAAGCTGTATGTATTTTATGAAACCAGGGACCTAATTTACTTTGTGACATCTTGTTTTCAAAGACTGGTACTGGTGCATCTGGAAGTTGCTTATGTTATTATGTTTTTGATAATATTTCACTCTTCCTATATGGATAATGATTCTTTTATGCGTGTTCTTGCTAGTGTGACTACTATGTAAGCCTGCTGTGGCACAGTTAGAGAAGGATGCTAAACATGCATTGGTGTATCGGCTCCTGAAGATCTTCTTGACTCAAGGTTGATGCTTACTTGGATTTCCTTGTTTCATTGCTGCTGAAAAGCCATTGACCACTTAGTTTCCTTGACAAAATTTCTTTCTTTTGTCGTAGTTTATGTCATTTTTTGGGATAGATATTTACAGATGAATCTTAGTAGCGCTAGCTTAATTGATAAAGTACACAAATACAATACTCAATTTTTATTGGGGATACCAGATTGCAATATTTGTTTAGAATTTCTTTACAATGATGCAATGATGCATTGGATTGTAAGTTTTTTTTTCTCTTCTTTTTTTTTTTGGTGTGTTCCTAACTTATCTGGAAAATATCTCAAGTATGAGGGTGTTCCTTATTCTTTTTAGTCCATTTGGTTTTAGATTATTCAAAATTTATAATCAATCTGTCATTATCCTAATATATTTAATCAAATGGCCAAAATAAGAAATTTCAAATATATAGCCTATTTGTTAACGATCTAATCTATTCAATCAAATGGCGAAAACGAGCAATTTGATGTATTCTTGCTCGTTTTTCCATGGCCAAGAATGAAATTGGAAAAAAACTGCCAACTTAGCTGTTAAAAAATGCGATGAATCAATTTGATGAATTCTAAATGGCAAATTTTGATTTGCTAAAGATAAAGGAACTTGATTGCACAGTCGGTTTCCAAGTAATAAGATCTAGATTTAGATCCCTCTAGTTGAAAATGAGAATCAATCAATTTTTGTTACAGCGATGATAAGGTTCATCTTTTAAAGCACTAAGTTCTACTAAAATAAGAAAATATAAAAATAATGTTCTACGACAATAAGCATTGAGACGAATTTAATAACAGTGAAGTTTATGGAATATTAGGTGCAAACAATTGCTAGATGAGTTTCTCTAGCAAATGCATCAACGTGGTTGTTTAGAATAATGACACTAAATTAGTTGAAATAGTTATGAGTTTTTATTGATAGGATATGTTTTCTCTGTAAATGAGGCGCTAACAAGGAGAAATATTTTATTAACGATTTTTTTTTAATTTTTATGTAGTCCTGAATACTATGATAGAGATTAATCTTTCATACAACTACAAGTGCTATTTATGATGATCGGTCTTTTTTTTTTTTTGTGACTTTGAACAAAATTTTCCACATTTTTTTAAAAATTCATGGACATAATATTAAGTTTACTTATAATCAATCATTTATACTGTATATAAAGGGAGAGGACGGAAAGGGTTTGGTATAAATATTTTGTTACCACTTTGTGTACTTTCATTTTTGCCCTTACAAAAAATTTAACTACCCAGATATATATTGTTGAGAACACTACCTATGAGCATCAATTTAATTATTTAAGCATATTTTTTCAACATAACCACTTCTAAGCAATAACTACCAATATAACAATCATTTTGTGAAAACAATTTAAAAATTAGAATTTACTTTAACAATAAAAATTATTATATGAAATTCATTCACAATAAATGTTATGATTTTTTTATTTCATACACATCGTGTGTGCATTTATCACCAGCAGTAAGTATATGTAGATAAATGATAAGTTTTAGTAATAAAACAGATAAAGTTTATTTTATTTCCACACAAAATGATAAATTTTGGATGATCCAAAGTTACTATTTTACTGTACAAAGTTATCGAAAGTTAGAATCAGTAAATTTAATTCAAATAATTGTAAGTTTGGTCCAAAAAAGGTATGTTTCACTAATAAAATGGCAAATTTGGTGAATGGAACAAACTTACTACTTTATTGGACAAACTTATCATTTTACTCAAGAAACTTACCATAGTTGGGATCGGCAAGTTTAATTCAAATTATAGTAAATTTTTGTCGAAAGATGGTAACTTTTACTAATAAAATGATAAATTTGGCAAAGTGTTCAAAGTTGCTGCTCTATTGCACAAACTAACCATTTTACTCGAGAAACTTATCATAGTTGGGATCAGTAAGTTTAATTCAAATTATAATAAGTTTTTGTCAAAAATGGTAACTTCTATTAATAAAATGGTAAATTTGGCGAATTGTTCAAACTTACTACTTTATTAACAAACTTTGTTGCAAGTTTATGTCAAATGATTGTAAGTTTTTGTCAAAAAATAGTAAGTCTTATTAATAAAATAGTAAATTTGGTGAATTGTTCAAACTTACTATACTATTTCACAAACTTACCATTTTACTTAAGAAAGTTACAGCAATTATAATTAGTAAATCTAATTCAAGTAATAATAAGTTTTTGTTTAAAAAAATGGTAAGTTTCGCACATAAAATGGTAAATTTGATGAATGATTTAAGTTACTAGTTTAATGCACAAACTTACCGTTTTAGTTTAAAAACTTAAACATAATTTATAATCATTATTTTAACGAAATCAGAAAAGATGCTAAAGAACCAAAATTGTTGCTAAATGTGGGTAAGTTAGACAACTGCTATAACTATCATTATTTTAGTATTTCGTGAGGTGACCTATCATCCCTGTAGCATGATCCCATATAAAAATGGCCTAGTAGTTGGGAATGTTGTTGGGATTACTTGGTTCATTTCTTGTTAAATGTCCATTATTTTACTTCTTTGATACAGGATTAGTGGATGTCCATCATTTTACTTCATTAAATGTCCATCATCTTAGGAAATAAGTGGATGATGATATTGAAGAATTGACTAATAATAATGAACTAACAATTCATATTAACAAAAGAAAAGGGTCCAACACGCTTCCATACCTTAAATCTGATTTTTGACGGACAAAACTTCGGCTAAAAATTAGTTTTTGGTATTTAAGATTTCCTCTAAGAATACCAAGGGTAGCTTCTTCCCTGTTCTTTATCCGGTTATCAATTATAACAAGAGCTATAGGATTATTTAGTCCCTTTGTTCGGCAGAG